AGAATAAAGATATTAATACATCTTCAGAGAAAAAAAAAGTGCGAGACAGGAGCATACATAGAGACACATGCTGGTGCGAGCTCATGAAAAGATTCATTCAACTGTGGCTGGAGATAAAGTACGCAGTTCGTGGAAGCGCCGAGGTCGTCAGTCATGGTGCAACATCCGCAGGGCCGTTCTTGGTGCCTGGCAATGGCACTGTGTCATGTTGATCCTCTTCCTTGTGATCTGTGTTTTTTGAGGTCGAGTAGAAATGAAGCATTTTTTTCATATTCCTTGTTCGTATTTTGATTATTCATTGATTTTGTATTCGTTTATATTTTTTGGTGTTTTTTATCTTCATTTTCTCTTTTCGTATCTTTTTTTTTTCTCCGATTTTTCTCGTTTAGTATTTTGTTTTACTTTTTTTTAATCGTATTTTCTCACTTTTTTGTTTCTCGAAGCGATTCATTCTTTCATTCGTTTCGTCACGTTATCCCTGTTTATTATCATTCTCTTTCTCGCTCGGGTTTGTGTCTGTTTGCAAGGAACACGACTAGTTATTATTTTATTGATGTTGTTCTTGTTGTTTTAATCCCTTTTTCTTCCTCAGCATCTCCCTTTCTCTCCTTTCCGTTCATTCCAAGGCCATTACGGTAATCAGCACTAAATGCAAACTGACCATAGGACTACCGCCCCCGCCTATAAGGATACAAGATTTTGAGATTTTAACCCCTGGTCTCCGCTTCGCTTTTGTTCGCAGGGAAGACGACGGCCATGGGGCGCGCTGGGCTCCTCCTGCTGGCGGCGACGACGCTCTCCTGCCTCGGTAAGACCCAGGTCATCGGGAGGAGAGAGAGGAAGCTATTTAGAGGAAGGTCTTTGGAACCTCGACGCCGGACTTTCCTTCCTCCTGCCGGAGGGATCTCCAGCTCGGCTGGAGGGCGATTATTTTCCGATTTTCCTCCCTTTTCTCCTTTCTTCCCTTCCTTCCTTCCCTCTCCTCCTTTCCTCCTCTCTCCCTCTTTCCCTCTTTCATCCACTCCCTCTTTCCTCCTTTCCCCCCTTACTCCCTCTCCCCCTTTCCCTCTTTCCTCCTTTCCCCCCTTCCTCCCTCTACCCCTTTCCCCCTTTCCTCCTTCCCCTCTCCCGCGTCCCCCGTCTCGCCTCCCCTCACCCCCCCCCCTCTCTCCCTTCCGCTGCATCTGCTCTCGCCCTCGAGCATCAGACGCTGACACTCGAGATCACAGCCTCCCGCCGCCTGACGCAGATCACCTTGCCTCCTGCGCTGCTCCCTCGCCCTCCGAGTCAGCCAGACGAGAGGCAGCTGCGGTTTGCCTGTTATCATTATCATTATCAGGATGGTGATGGTGCCAAGAGGACGCTGTGGTTTAGACTTTATCATTATTAATGTTGTTATGTTCGGAATGGTGATGGCGGTGACGTCAGAAGGAGGCTGTGGTGTAGACGTTATCATTATCGTTATTATGTTAAGATAGTGATGGTGATGACGTCATAGAGGCGCTGCGCTTTGGATTTTCCTTTTTTGGTGCCGTTGCTACGTGCAATAGTGATGCTGTTGATGGTTTTGCTCTACGTTGCAATGTCGTCCTCAGAGTGACGTTGCTGTCTGTCTGTCACTTCCTCCGTCTCACTTTTTTTTTTTTTTTTTTATTGGTCTGGTGGGTATTTCTGTTGTCTTTCTTAGTGTAAAAATAGTTTGGTTGTTTTTTATATGTAAGATAGAAAGAAAGAGGGTAAGGAAGGAAGGAAGAAAGAAAGAAGGAAGAAGGAAAGAAAGAGAGAAAGAAAAAAGAAAGAAGGAAAGAAAGAAAGAAAGAGAGAAGGAAAGAATGAAGTTAAGAGAGGAAGAAAGAAAGAAAATGTACATATACATACATATATATATATATATATATATATATATATATATATATATATATATTCTTTTTCTTTTTCTTTTCAACAGCCACTGATTCCACTGCAGGACATAGGCCTCTCTCAATTCACTATTGAGAGATTATATGGCAGTGTCACCCTTGTCTGATTGGATGCCCTTCCTATTCAACCGCGGTTCGGCGCGTTGACACTTGTGCCACGGCGGTGACTTCCCTTACGACACCTGCGTTTGACTTCTCAAGGCAATGTGTCGTTTTCTCGGGCTCGAGCCAGCAGTCAGAGCGCAGGCATTTTTACGACCGCCGCGACAAGGAATTGAACCCGGGACCACTGGACCATTGCGACAGTTATATATATACATACATATATATATATATATATATATATATATATATATATATATATATATATATACATATATATATATATATTTATATATATAAATATATATATATATATATATATATATATATATATATATATATTTATATATATATATATATATATAAATATATATATATATATATATATATATATATATATATATATATATATATATATATATATATATGTATGTATATATATAACTGTCGCAATGGCAAAATTATGACATCCTCTCTGC